GAATCTTATTCGAGATGAACGCATCAAACGAACTGCCTGACTTTCGATGTTCTGCACACCAATTTATATCCAAAGTAGCTTCAGCAAAATGAGATATGCGCGTATTGTATGGACGCAAATTCATTTCTAATCTTTGTGAAAATTTTGCAAGAAAAATTATTCCACTAGCAATAGTTAAAAAGATGCGGTTTAATGAATGCCACAATAGGCACGTACAGAATATCATAACAATGCACTGTGCATGATGACATCTGTGTCACATTTGGAAATATTGTTTACGCCGCAAACTACTGGGTTAAACGCACAAATAACATAGAGTAGATAGTAAATGTTGGAATAAAACCAAGAAAAAACAAGACCACAGAGCTTCGCTTCGCGCCGCTCTGCGTTCTTGAGTTTTTAGTTATTTAATCTATTTTGTTGTTTCACAACAAACTATTTTTTGGCGCACTACATGAAATGTATTTCATCAAAGTAACTTTGAAGTAATATATTTATTTTCAAAATGGTTGCCTTTGGTTTAAATTAAATAAATAATATGAGCATAGAATCTAAAATCACTTTAATTCTGGTCAAGACTCAGAAAATATTATACGAAAAATTAATGTAATTTTTAAAAAACATTTGATAATAAAAATTTGATTGGCGCTTTGAGATGTTGTGCACTTATTTGTCGTAAGTGCACCTGTTTTAAATTAAATAAAAAATATGAGCATAAAATTCAAATTCACCATAATTTGTTTCATCACTCGAAAAGTATCTAGAAAAAAAAGCAGATTAGTAGCTCTACATTTCATGTAGTGCTAAAAATATAAATTTGGAACAATTTGGAAACTGTTCATTCAGTTTTTATCGCATATATCTCATTTTTTTGTCATCATAACATGTTGTTTACAATACAAAAAAGGCGTTTACAATTAGTCTAAATGTCAGATTACATGCTCTACTTTTATTTGGTTTCCCTTCAAGTGGATGACGCCATTCCGTTTTTGCGGACTTGACATTTCCTCGCCACACTCCAAATGATTTACATCAAAAATGGCTTCTTGTAGCATTTTCCTTTGATTTCAGCCTTAATATGTGCGAGAACTTGAACATGCTTTTTCTGGAAATACACAAAAAGACGTAAGGAAAGGAGACGAATTAGGAGAAGAGTAAGCAGATTGTGATGAAAAATTGTAATGCGTCGTCGCACTGTAATATTGATTTTGCTCTGCCACATTTCATCATCATTTTCATTTATATTGGCAAATTCAATGAAACTCATGCTCAAATAATTCAATTTGTTTCGACATTAAAGTGTTCATTCTATCGGAATTTCGTTTAATTTTTACCTCAGCGAAGAATTTCCATAGATCCAACAAAACTTTGATTGTAGTTTTCAATTCCGTTACGATGCATCTATATCCAAAAAAAAGAACAATTAGAGAAATAGATGTTAGTTATCGATAAAACTATAAGCAATTTAACATACACTTTCTTGTCCATGCCAACATATTTATTACAAGCGATAATTCTTTCAATTGATTCCTTCAGTTCGATATTATATGTGATCCAGTCGAGTGCATCGTTATTATCGCCGATTGCAACGACAAGAGATTGTACCACGCATTTAATATGCTCAATATTGAAGTATTTCTTGAAGTTGAATTTATTTAGGCTGACTTTGCGCGACAGATAGATGAATTCGTCGTCAGGTGAGGGCACGTCGAGTTCACATTGCGAAACAAGAGCAGCGTGAATTTCTAGCGCCACATCAGAATGATTCTAAATCCATGAGCAGAAACAAAATGAACGATCTCAATATTGAAAGTGTAAGAATGAAGAGTTCCACCAGGGTGGCGGCATGTTGAATTGTACTCACCTCATAAACATTTTCCAAGAAACCGACCAATGTGTATACAGCTTCACGCATTTCTTCATCCGCACACCTGTTGGCAATTCAGATTCAATAATTTGCTGAATATTCAAGATGATAATGGCATGAATATGAACAAAATCACTCACTCGTCGCTTTGTGGTTGTGACTTCTGGGCTTGACATTCGTACAAAGTATTGGTGTGCATGACGATTGGGAAATAGATTGGAAGCCAAAGATCGCCTAGTCCATGTTTTTGGTCAATGGGTAAAATGGTTTTGGCAACGCATTCCAATTGAGATGCCGCTGCCTTGATTTTATCGGTGTTGATAGTGGCCGGTGCGCCCAAACCAACCTATAACACGAATTGGAAATCGAAAAAATTTCACAATTTCAACTATTCATCTCGAAATCGAGCGAAATAAATATCAATATGACTACGTCACCAAATGTTTACCGAAATAATTGCGGCAAGCGCAACAAAAATTATACTTTTGGCTCCCATGTTGTACTTCCAACTTCAAAACGAATTGAGTAATGAGCCCGAGGAGTGCCGGCAATTATTTTATATAGCTCGTGAAAAATCTCATGAATTTGGATTTGGTTCGCACTCGCGCCCGTGCCGTATTAATTTATTTATTAATCTCATTTATTAACCTTTGATAAAGTATCAGCGATTAAATTTTTTTTTAAAACACGAGCTTTTACAGATGTTAAAAAAAAATCACATTGCGATTATATGACAATTGATGATTTGTTGTTCTGAACTGAACGGTGTACGAAATGAGGTTTTCAGCATTGTTCGATTTATGGCACGTTTAAATCAATTGTGACAATATTGGCATTGCTGTGTACTGGTTTCGACTAGACTGGATGGAAATCGAATTGCGCGTCTAAACGAGCGCACGTCATCAGAGTAATGAATTTTTTTTGCATTATAGATTTGGTTGATGTTCAACCGAAGTTGATCACTAGTTACACCTTCTGATTAATTGGGATACATATTTAAAATTCATTTCATTGTCCATTGTATGATAGATATCGGTGCGTACGAATGGGCCGTTTTTGCGACCGTCGACATCATCATCATAATCATTATCATCATCATTGCCAGCATTGTAGACGTCGATGTGCAGGTAGTTTGAGTAATTTTCAGGCAATTGGGAAAGGAAAATGCAAATAAGTGTGTTTAGAAAGCAAAAATGGGCATGTGGGAATCGAGAACGGCCAGCCAGCTTACACAACTTACACACACACACACACATTCAATTTATCAAATTAGATAACGAGTGTGCTGAAATTCATTTCGACGCTTTCTGCAGGTAATAATATTTCGGTCGGTTGTGATTTAGATGGCAGCCGTAGCACCGCCATTACATCATCAACAGCAGCTACAGCAGCAACAGAGCAACACACAATACAAATGATGACTGCACATAATCTGAACCTTATTATCAAACATTAATGATTCATAAAATATTAAAACACACAACATTTTGTAGGCCATTCGTTTGTTCCACGACTATCTCTTTTTCTCTTACCTCCCTCCCCCCCCTCTCTCTCATACATACACCGGCGTCGTAAACACAAACCCACCCACCCATCGTACACACCGTACAAGTGACTGTTTCACACATGCTCCATCACAATTATCGTGTTTTGCCACTTGTTTGAGATTTTCGAAACGAACCGCATAACACTGCACGTACAACGTGTTTTGTGCGAGAAGAACATAATCAAATGCGCTTCGAATTAAGTGAGCAGCTGATACGTGCTCGAATGTGTTCATCTTTGGTGTACTCAGTTGCTTGATAAATGATTACAATTCTCTCTCTCTCTTTCTCTCTCTCCCATCCTTTGTCTCTCTTTTGCACTCCCTTTCACACCGAACGACGGAATAGAAATGCCACTTGGAACATCATTTATTATACACGTGTAATTCCTTCTCTTTTTCATATATTTCCTTCGTTATCCACTCGATATTTCGGTGCAGTAGCACTCCTTTGGCTCTCACATCCCCCCGAAACAATGCTGAGAATGAAATACATTTATGAATGTGCGAAGGAAAAATGCCGCATCATTGATAGCATTTTATTCCTCATCCCTTATTCCATACCGCTTGTCTTATGCGCCGAATGGATGGATCTCATGCAGCTCAAGCACTAGAGCAGATGAGCTCGATAAACGATACAACGTCTTTTAACTTTCTTTGCCTAATAGCTACATCTTCTTCTCTCTTTTCTTTATTCGGACGAAACAACAGCACAACAAGCATCCCATGTTGATTTTGTTGTTGTTAATTTTTGACTTGAGAACATTGTTCTGCGAACAATAATAAATTTAAAAACTCTTGGTTGATCGTATATGTTTTGCATCAAAACAATTGAGAAGTTTGGGACAAGGTTTTCACTTTGTAGTTAAATTGTTTCATATTCTGGTATGAAATACGACGGTATATATCATAAATCATACACGTTCCGAAGCTGTTTTACCATCGATTGTTGGTTTGGAAATGTATTATATATTGTATTGTATTTTGTTGTGCGATCATGTTTCACTTGCATGTATAGCTAGCTTTTCATAATGAATGCAATGTTATTTGATACATTACTTATGAAACCACGATGATTACCACTGAAGCGGTAAAATTCGCTCAATTCATGGAAAAGTAGCCGTTGGAGTGCACGTTCTGTTCACGTTACGTTAAGGCGTACACATACAACTGCGTTAACGTAAAAGGAGTACAGCGATATATGAATGGTTTAGAGCGAAAATGTAAGAAAAGTTGAGCGGAAAAATGTCGATGATGAATGAGCGGAAAAGGGATAACTATATAGTAAACTATAGTGAACTATAAAGCTATCACTTTTCATTTGACATTTTTCTGCTCAACTTTTCTGTATTACACTGTTCATTTGCGCTCCAAACCATTCATATATCGCTGTACTCCTTTTACGTTAAAGCAGTTGTATGTGTACGCCTTGACGTAACGTGAACAAAACGTGTACTCCAACGGCTAATTTTCCATGAGAAATTAAAGTTATCGCAATTTCCTATTTCAAAAATTAAAAATGGCGAATATGGAGCCAATTATGCTGAAAAATCGAGAAAATTGTTATTCACTCATATGAAAATTTTATGTTCAAGTCCACATCAGTCAGCTTTAACTTCGAGAGGAAAAAAAACACACCTCAACAACGAAGAACTAATAGCGAAATCCACTAAATGATGAAATTATGGCTGAAAACAATAATAATATGGCAATACCTTACGTAATCCCGAATGAGTGCAACGGATGCTTCGTTTCGTCAGCAATAAATTCGTAGTACGAAATAAAATACAATAGATTTCGTCCGCTTCTTTTGCTTTGCACCTAAAAAGAATTATTCTAAAAAAAGAGAAACCACTCAGGTTGCGAAAGAGAGAATTTACAAAAATAATTTCTGTTTTTCTCACGTGTAAACGAGCATTGGATTGCCTCGACAATTGTTATATTTGTTAAAATGCTCTTGTAGCTTTTCGTTGGATGCGTTCCACAATTCATCGTAGCCGTAGTCTGTCGATACTTGAGCACACACATTAATTAAACATTTAAACTTGTTGAGAAATGGGTTGAAAAATAATTCATTTGTTCAGAAAGCTCCGGCTCAAATTGTCGGAGTCATCGTTGTTTGATGCACCGAAAAATGACACAGTCAAATGTAAAAGTATACAAATCGCAGCTGTGGATTTTCGCATTTTTTCTCTCTCTTTCTCTCGTTTATTTCTATGAAGAATACCTGCTGGATTTCAAACGATGATTGAACAGAAAAAAAGCGCTTCGGATAAGTTCCGTGTGTTCAACATGTAATGGACATGGAATGTCGTGATGCATGTAATGTCGACGAATCAGCACATTTATATTTAATTTGATGACAATGTTCGACAAGCATCCAACACAATTAACCGTTTATCAACGTACAAATAAAAAGAAGAGAGGGAGAGAGAGAGAGTCAAAGTCCCAAAACTTGTTTTTCTCATCCGTCTCGATCGGCCAAACATTCAACAACACATAGAGTGGTGCGAAACTGAATGGGAAAAAAACAATTCAGATTATCCATTGATTTATTGCTTTAAGTCGTCCACATCGCAACAATGTTGTAAATTTACAACATTGAAATTACCGTGGAATGGGGCAGACTGATTCAAATGTGAATTGTGAAAATGTTTTGTTGAAACATTTGAAAAGCATACAGAATAAACGTATTTTCTCTCTCTCTCTCTCTCTCTCTCTCTCTCTCTCTCTCTCTCTCTCT